GCTTCAGAGCGACAGAAAATCGATATCGCCATCTTGATGAAGAAACAGATGTCGGCCAACGGATTGGTGTCCATATCACGTAGAAAAGAATCGGAGACCGTGTACTCTTTGCCGGCTCGTCAGTCGCTCTTTCTTGAAATCTACGGAACGAGGACGCCTTACATGTAACCGACAATGTGGAAGCGATGGACACGTGTAGCGCTATAGCTATTGAATTGAAGGGTCTATAATTCTCGTCAGAAAGGCATCTCATTAATATTAAGATCTCATTGGTGAAAGGCTCGAAACTCACAAATAGATTGTAACATGCAAAGAAAGAGACGTCGAAACATTTCTTCCGCGACATAGGTCCTTTCTCACTTAGCTGCGATTCGACAACTTTACTTCGCGATACCTCAGGCCTCAGTTGAAGTCGGTGACGCTCAATACGTTTTCGAGACTGAAATGCGTAACTCAATAAGGACTCGGCCGAATTGTAAAGGATGGCTTACGTGAATTTACCCCCTCGCTCTGCGCAAAGTTTTCGGGTTTCTCAAAAAGCTCCTCATCACGGACCATAAAGGACTGCATGAAACCTCCGCTTATTGGTTTTACATATGGTCGTGGCGGCGTCTGCGTCGTGCAGATGAATACACGTACGTCCTTTGTTTCTCGTGACTTCAAGGTTTCGAGCATTTCCCTGTCGAGGGAGGGCGGCGGGGAATGACAACAGTGCGCATTGAAGCTGATAGTGAGCGATTCGAGTGGTGGCGGAATCTGTCGTATGAATCCAGAGGGGAAGTCGTCGGTGAGGATGGCGAGGTCACGCAATGATGACCAGATGGGGAACACGATCCTCGCTGCGTCTGCTGCAATTTCATAGGAGGCGTCGAAGGTCAGGTGTGGTACGTTCTTTAGTAGCGTGTAGACGTGCTCAGAGACGATGTCGTCCTCGTAAGGAAAGTCCGCGTTGATCCAAGTCGAATCCAAGGAGAAATCTTCGTCCCCGCGCTTTCGGATCCAAGTGAATTTCCAAACTGATAAGGCAACATCCGTTTCCCTCATTTTCGACCCGACGTAGGGGCGGTATAGGTGAACTGCCGCCAGGGAGGTGATGTTATGAAGCGGCGAAAGTTCTGAAGGCAGCCCATGGTCAAAGCCGACCAATTCAGAGACGGAACAGTGCATGTGATCGAGCCTGATGACGCGCAGCGAAGGGAAGTCCGACCTGTAAAGGGGGCCAACATGCGCGAGTAGAGCTTTGGAAAACAATCCGCAACTATAATCCTGAAAGCAAAGTTCTTCGACATGAACAGAGCATTGCATCAGCGCCTTAAACGCAGTTTCGTCAGAAGAATGGCCTGATGCATCAAACCAGATAGTGCGGAGAGTGTCGGTCTTCGTTGCAAGCGCATGAGTAAAGAGGTTGATGTCGAAATCCCGTCGGTGGAGAACGGAGGCGTCAAATTCCAGAATGCGAGTGTGGCCTCCTAATAAACTAATATCGCCTGTGCGAGCAGTGGGGGTCGGTTGGTCGGTAGGTGGTGAATCTGGAGCGATTGTGCTGAACGTGACGGAATATCCAAGTACGTGTCTCGTGCATGAGTACGCGTACTTGTTCAGCAGGTTCAGCGTCTTCAAGATCGGCAGAGCTGGACAGTGGGTGTAAAATCCTCGGAAGTTACGGAAGACGCGACACGCTGGAAGGCGGAAGTTTTCCACATCGGACCAATGTGCAAGGTACTCTTCTTCAGTATACGCAACGCGAAGTTCCCGTAAGAATTCGATGAGAAGTTCGAGAACGTCCAGAAAGTGGACTTTCATATGAGGTGTTTTCTTTTTCGTCTTCGTCTACAGAAGAAATTTCAGATCATCGATCGCTCGTGACATTGAAATAGCAGACTCACTGCAAATTTCATTATTCGTGTAATCTTTGATCGAAACATCAGAACTTCTACGATGAAGCCAGATACTCAAACCTATGGCACGTTGAGAAATGACAATGGAAAACTGAAGCGATACAGCGCAGGATACCATACCTTCGAGCTCGAGGGGGCGAGGTTGTGGTGGTTGGATGAGTTGACGGCCACTTGATAAGATACTCTGGTCACGTTGCGATCAAATTTCGCATGCATAGCAACCACGCATCAACGGCAAGCCGACTTGCGTGCTGATGCAGAATCTTGCTCCAGTCGACTTACCGAAATCTGAACCTGACGCAGATATTGTCGATGCTTTTCACAGTGCACTTCGATTTGCTTCCGTTATACATATGCATACATTACCGTCGTTTGTTTTCTCGATTCTCGAAAAACCTGAAATTAAGACCTGTAATTCAACTCTCCCAGACACTCCCCTCTTCGGGATGGAGTCGCTACAAACTGGTTACCGAGATTTCCGGCAACAAAGCACTGGAACCGCTCACCGACGCGTCCACCGCAAACCCAGCCAGCGCCTGCAGCACCTTCTCGCCCGCCCACTTCTGCAAACTCTCCGCGCGCTCGGGCGTGACGAAATCCCCTGTGATCCTGTTCGCGAATACCATGTGCACGGCCGCAGCGCGTATGCGCGCCGCCGGTGCGCTCTCGGAGTGTAAGTTTATAGACTTTGCCTGGGCGGGAGAAGAGGGAAGCGCTGTGAATTTAGAGGAGCGCGGCGAGATTGTCGGGTCGACGGGTAAGTTGGTCGGAGGAATTGTGAGATGGTTTCCTTCGAGTGGGCGGGGACGCCAGACGGAGGCGAGGTGGAAGAGGTGGAAGGTTTCCATCTATCGTATACATGTTATGCCAGTTGTTTCAAGCGATTAGGACGCGATGTAAGGCCCATACCTCAAGGGTGGAAAGGTTCGGCACCCTCGCTTGAAGACGTTCTATGAGATCCTCGTTGTGGTCTAGGAAAGATGTGAGCCGTCCTTGAGAAGAGTAGAAACTGGAAAAGCAACTGAATGAGTTCAAAATTTCGAAAAAGAAGAGCCATCTTACCTGTCCGCTGACGCGTTGACCGTGTTGCATTTTATCTCGACAGCTGGTTCTGGTTCAGGACATACGGAAGGCGCATTATTCGAGGTGGAAAGGGCGACTTGAAGCTAGGCTGAGGTTATACGCTAACGTCGAGTGGCATAAGCTAGTACTTACTGCGTCGTTCAATTCGCTATCGGACGCAACCTACAAGAACATTACTTTTGAGTTCGAATTTTGGTGTATCCACTCACTGGCTTAGAGATGAGGTACGCGTTGTCGTTGGACGGAGAAGACTGGAAGTCAAAGTCGTAGTTTCTGTTCACAGCGACGCTCGCAGAGGGTACAACGAGCGATCCAACTGGGAGTGATTCGTCCAAGCATCCACACGAGCCGATTCTAAGGCATTCGTATTCATTCAAATCAACATCAGTGAATCGTAACAAAAGGGAAAGTCGACGCACCGAACCATGAGCATGTCCCCTTGGACGCATTCTCGCACTTCTCGAACCACAAAGTCCATGTTCGGGTTGCCCATCCCTATCGATACTATGCTCACGGGTACGCCTTTGTAGTGACCCGTAATGGTGAGGAACGCGCGTTCGGACGTCAAGCGGAAGAGGTCCTCAGAGCGTTCGTCCAGGAAAGTTGCGATGTCCTCTGCACGAGATGGGGGGCCAACTGCAATCTTCACGAAAGAGTTGTGTCATTAAGTAGTATTAGTCGTAAAAGTAAGACGTACGATGCGATTTGCGACCTCTCCCATTCGCAAACCCAAGTGGTAAACGCGACCATCGGCGGTTTTGGGGAAATCTGAACAGCAACGTCGTTAATCTCAGCTGGACCTGTTCTTTGAGCAGAAGTGAGCCATACTTGCATCCAGAAACGTATCTTTCATGCTGATTTGTGGACTATTGGATACGTTTCAAGAGGTCGGCGTCGAGGGAGGTGGCAAAGACTGAGCGAGTCGACATGACTGACGGTGACAAACACGAGCACACGATTTCTCCCTATTTCTCCAAGGAGTTTCGTTATCACGGCAAAGTGAAATTGGAATTCACAAACATTCTAAGCTCATTTCTCAACGTAAGGTTTACTAGTTCTAATGGCGCTAATAGCGTTTTCTCCTGCTCGTCTTTTGAGACTTCATATATGATTGCACGTACATGGACAAGATCACTAACAGTCTCGACCGAACTCTTAATTCCATAGCGAGAGTATTAAACGAGCACAGAAACGATATTTGCCGAAGACTTCATCGAGCTTTAGGGGAGAAACTGGCGCAAAATTCACACTCGAAACACTCCTAGACTCTGGCGTTGAATTTGTTCAGGACCTCCGTGGTTCACAGAAGTTATGAGAAAGCGACCTGCGCTGTCGATGAAAAGTGATCCGTACGAGGTCAGGATGGTTAAGTTGGTGGATTAGTCGAGCAACATATGTGTAAGGATTACAAAGTGTCATTGCTGCAATCGCCGTGCCAAACTGAGCCGCAAGCGCATGCTAATGAAAGGTGTGCGTTATTTCGTCAGGTTGATTGAGGGCTTCCTGGTGGTTTGCCCTTCAAGTAGAGCTTTTGGATGCTTCAAGAATGTTCTGAAGAAATTTGGGGAAAGCAACGTCAATTCGGAGCCATTCCCTCCAAAGCAAATGCAACGCACCTCATTTCCCTACGACAACTCATCCCAGCACTTTTCCTCCTCATAAGCCCAGTGCCAGCCCTTCCCCCCACTGTCTCAACGCTGCGACGCCTCCCACGAACATAGCGAGGCTCACAAGGATGGTTTGGTTTCCTTGGAGGTACTCCGGGGCGAAAATTTGCTCGCGCATGAACCGCGAAAGCGCTGACTCGTCGGGGTCGACGTCGGCTGAGCCGCGATTTGAGATGCCATATTGTGGCGAAAGGTACGAAGGTCCTGAGCCCGGAGGTGCTGAACGTCGTGCCATGATGATCGTTGGCGGAAAGTAGTTTCAGCAAGCGAGACAAAAGAATTGAAGAGGAAAGGCGAATTAATGGTTTTTTTTGCTGCCGTTTATATATACACAAAGTAGTAGGGGAACATATCCCTGTTAGTATATCGGTTAGTACACGCGCCTGTCATTTGTACAGTTCCGCGCGAGAGCGGAGTTCGATTCTCCGACAGGGAGCTTTTTTTTTCATCTTTTTATGATATTCGAACGAACGTGAAATCGCATTTCTTTTGCTGAAGGCAAGATGAACCTACAATCTCTCTTCACATAAACCAACTGGACTACGAGAAGGTAAGAATTAACGCGAGTGTGCTTGATGGCAAGAGCCTCAAATTTTGCCAGACTGGATTTGTGTCGATGGCTTGCGTTGTGACTGCCATCAGCATGTCGACCAACGCCGACCTTTGCGATAATTTTCAACTTATACGCACTGGTGCACGCTCACGAACCAACGGATCAGCACGAAGGACAGACTTCTGGATGCCAGAATGCTTCACGTTTCAATTTTATTTGCGAGAGTCGTTCAGCCTGTGACTTTCAAGTCGCAGCCCTCGCCTCCATCGTCGTGTATAACACCTGAGTTTGAGGACAGAGGAGGTCTCAAATGGATTCGTGCGTGCTTAATTTCATGTCAGCTCGCAAATCATCCTATACCATCATAGAGATACTGCTATGACTAGGAGGACTTCTGGCTCATGGCGAGGAAGACATCGCAATGCCACCGGTGCACCTATCCAGCCTCATCGACCCTTCCATCTCGACTCGCTCCTCAAATTTACAATGTCTCAGTAAGATCCTCGATCGCTCTGCATCTGAGGTCTTTTCAATGGTAAACTAAGACGAAGATTGGTGTACCATGTTGCACTACTTGAAGGTGGGAGAGCGATCGACGCAAAGATCGTCTCGGTTTCATCAGGCGGCTTTGGAAGTCAAGCGCCTTTGCGACACTCCCTGGTAAGCTTCACGCAGATATTTTCTTGCCAAGTTGTAACACACTCAATCACGCATTTCTCTTTTCCTTCTTCCGCCAACAAACTATTCGGCAAAGTTGAACAAACTCGGGAGCGTCAACAATGGACTTGTTGTCGTGGGATTGTGGTACATGTAAGCGAATAGGCCACTCGTCGAATCGTTGACCCCCTTCTCTCTCTCTCTCTCTTCTCCTTACACGATCGCATCTCGACAGCTTTGACATACGCGACAGCTTGGCTGTAAATTTTTGACGAAAGAAAGAATACACTCCTAGACAAGGTTCGTATACTCGCAAGATTTTGCCAAACTCGCTCACTGATGAGTACAATGTTGATTCCTGCGAGCAGATCTTCGAACGAACTCGGCCACAGCACACGATGCGTCCTACTGGGGTGACAACAACCGCCTTGGAGCTTGTCCTGGAAGAAATACATTTACGGCGGAAGGCTGCACTCCACCATACGACAATGAAGTTTTCAAACGATGGTCGCATTCTCGACCTTGAAGGCGAATCTCTCAAAACGCTATCTCTCGTTCATCCAGCCTGGACTTTCCTCTCTCGTCACACCTTCGGTCGTATCCTCGTTCTCTCTGACGTTACGGACCATACCGCAAAAGCTGTTGCGTCAGCATCAAATATTGGGTTATGGACTCGCGAGATACACTTGTCGTTCTCAGAGGGCTTTAGTATCCCGGAGAAGAGCGAACAGGAGATTTGGAACTACCTAAGGGATTTATTCTTGCGCACGCCTGGAGCGCTCGCTTTTAACTTGACAACTGCGTCGGAACATCAATTTAACATTGATAGCTGCGTCAAGAGGGTCTCGCCCATGCTATCCATCTTTACACGCCTTCGTGTACTCCGACTACATTCGGACGACGCAAATAGGCCACTTTCAGACATTATTCGTAATGTCACGGATCACCCTGTTCTTTTTCATTCTCTCGAAAAAGCTCCCCTGGAGAATGTGTCTTTGCGAGGCTTCTTGCCGTGCTTCAAAGGAGTCTTGAGGGAAACGAACGAGGAACTGCAGGTCTCTCGCATGCCTCCTGTAGTGGGAGACTCGGCAGTGTTGGCAGGAAGAGTTTATAGCCTTGCGAAACTCATAAAGTCCATCTACAACTCGCTTGGCTTGGCCCCTGAGCATCCCGAAAAAAGAAGCCCTGCGACCGGGCTGCGATATATCTCTTTCAAATTCAATACACACCGTCACGAGTTTTTCGTCTCTACTATGAAGCTTTTCGACGGTTTATTGAGTGACCCTCTCCCTCCTCGCCCGTACCAAGATTTGTTTCAAGACGCAGATGTTATTACTGTCAGCTGCGCGTACAAGATCTTCAAGAAGCTGTCCCCATTCCATTCACTGCGATTCCTTCATGCCACAATAAACGCAAGCCATCGATCGCCCCCGAGAGAGGCAGTCCAAGAACTGGATGCATTTGTACATCTGCTACCTCCTACACTTGAGGTCTTAATTGTGGGATTCGCTCTGGATTCACCCGAAAAGGACTTTTCATCGGCGGCTCAAGACAAAGTGGACGCCATATTCACGAAGATTCCCTCCGGCCTCTGTCCGAAGCTCAAGATGCTGGGGGTAAAATTTTTTGCGGAGTCGAAAATTTGCAGAACATCAGAGCTGATGCAACTCATCAATGCATGCAAGAAAGCGCATATCCCTTTGGTCATTTATGACATAGACTTGAGCAAAGGTTACTGGAAGACCATTGGACATGGCATTGACGTCGAAGAGCTCGAGATGTTCAATTTTTCCAACTATCTCGAGTAGTGCACGGTATCATGTGAAGCTCTTAAGCTTGATGATTTGAACCCGTGCTTCCGTGAGTCTTCATTGTTCTTTCTTCGTTCTCTCGTTACTTACAACCTCAGCTATACTCAACAGATCCTCAAAACTAATATCCCCGAAGTATACTGCAAAATATTCTTTACGTCCCAATCGCAAAGTAGAAGAGAGCGAAACCATCTTCAAGACGCATCACCTGTAACATAAAAATAAACAATTGGATCACACATGACAGAACTTGAATTCTCTCCAATGGTCTTCAGTACTTCGGTCGTTTGTTGCGTCTTTTTGCAGTCATTACGGTCACGATGTGCCGAAGGAAAGAGGAGCTTTGCGGGTAATTTACTGGTTAAAACTGAAGCGAGTGTATACTGACTACTGTTTGGTATACTACCGTATAGTACCGAGAGAAGTCAAGAGAACTTTGAGGAATAACTTGGAAGCATTGTAGAAGCGTGAGGAAGTTGTTGTACTTTCGACAGCACTCTTCACTCTCATCAATATCGTGGGATTGTATTTCGGCACAACGCGAGAGCAGACGCAATCGTTGAGCCTCTTCTCTCTTTCTCTTTCTCTTCTACAAACCACAACCACGTCAATAATCTTCCTGGTAATAGAGTTACATACAACTTAGCCAGGTTCGTGCGCTCACGTTCTTTGTGCAGATTACTCGATCGCACCCAAGTTCATGCACCGTCCTACCACGCGACCCATCGCCATCTCAGTGACCGCTTTGGATCTTGTCTTAGAAGAAATACATCTTCGAAGAAGAGTCTCGCTCCGCGAATGGCAAGAATCGGATGAAAACAGAGCCCAAAGGTTCAGGGCTGGTTTTCCAGACCACGAAGGCGGAATTCTCAAAGTTCTCTCTCTTGTCCATTCTTCCTGGACGCCCCTCGCTCGCCGCGCTATCGGCCGTATCTTGGTACTCTCAGATATTAACGATAAGGTTGCAAAAGCTGCCGTGTCAGCACCAATGTTCGGGTATTGGACGCGCGAAATCTCTATGTCATTCTCGGAAAGCTTCAGCACCTCCGACAGTTGTGAAAAAGCCGCCTGGAAGTCTATCGAAGTGCTGTTCTCGCGCATTCCAACAATCCTCACCTTTTGCATAAACACTGCATCCGAAGGCCAGTATTGCATTGACAACTGCGTGAAACGACTTTCACCCATGTTGTCTCGCTTCACTCGTCTTCGTACATTGCGACTGTACTCTGATCTATCTTCTTGGCCGGACGACTTCAACCATATTTTGCATGGCACGGAGCACCCTTCTCTCTTTCGCTCCATCGAGGAGACTCCTAACTTGGAACAAGTGTCTCTGCGAGGTTTCATACCGTGCGTCGGGAAGATCACTAACGAAGAATCACCAAACAAGAACTCCAGTGGACATCCTTTGTCTTATCATATGTCCCTTGCGACAGAATTAGAATGCTCTGCGACGCTAAAGGGAAAGGCTTTTAACCTCGCCAAGCTCATACACTGCATCTGCGAATCGCCCCTCGCGCTGCTCGATTCCCACCGTGATGTCACGAGCCTTGCAAACATGGTAGAATATGTTTGCTTCAAATTCGACGCAATCCACCAACGTTTTTTTATCCAAGCCATAACTCTCTCTGAAGATTCTTCCGGGGATGGGCTTCCTTCTCATCCTTACGAAGACCTCTTCAGAGATACAGAGGTTCTCGACGTGTTTAGCATGTACAACATCTACAAGAAGTTGGCTCCATTCCAGTCGCTCAGATTCCTCCGCGTCATGATTTCGTACAGTGACGCGTCTCCGGGAAAATTAGTGGAAGAAATGAGCGGGTTTTGTCGCTTGCTTCCTCCTACGATCGAAGTCCTTTTCATGGAATTCGATTGGGAAGCATACAACAAGGACCTTCCGCTGGAAACTCACGACGATGTGGACAATTTATTGGCAACAATTCCCTTCACTTACTGCCCGAGACTGAAGTCATTGAAGGTGGCCATTCGCTTGGTGTCCGACCTCTTCTACACATCGAAGCCGCTGAAACGTCTCATTCAATCCTGCGAGAAAGCGCACATTCTTTTGATTCTCGAACGATTCGGAGGGATCATCGAGGTTTTTGGCATATCCGACGATTACTACGACAGAGAAAAGCTGGATGAAATATTTGAGTTTAGTCGCTATCTTCACTAATGCGTGCAATCGCGCGGAGTTCATTTCTCGCCGTACATGTATGTGAGTATTATCTTGTTCTAGCGTCGTGCTCTCATTACTTACGCTTCGCATCAAGTCTACCTCTTCGCCCTCTTGGAAATTATGATATTTATTACCTGAACAAGTACTTGTTTATCCACGCTACGCTTTGTGATTTACCTGCTTTTGATTTGTTCAATTTTACCTTTCGACCAGCACTCGATTACATTTTACATAAA